TATATATTACAAACTACATTTAAATGCTTTGCTATTATGGAGCCTCAAGTGTGAAGATAAACTGAAAAAAAAAATAACATCAACAACAAAAGTACATCAGGTGCACTGTGCTGGGCGAAATCAAATCTACATGGGTACTCTTCCATTAATAGGCTATGTATCCACCATTAAAGCTTTGATGTTTTCCCTCCAAAATTCACTCTCTCTTCGTTTCGGGTTATGTAACATCGATATCCAATAGTTACTTAGTCACGTGTAGAAATGTTGACTTTGATTTTCTTCCCTTGTTTCCATGCCATCAGGAGCAACTGCCTATCTTAGGCGCTGTGATTGGATACAGCAGGGGTAGCAGGGGCTTATGCTGCACCGCCTTCTGCCGCTGGGTGTCGCCGTTGCGCAGCGGGACCTCTTGACGCTTTGACGTTCAGCGCTCTTTGGCTTCTGGTCTAAGTTTGTTTCCGGATGTTCGGCTGGTGTCGTGGAGAAAAATAATAATGGCTGCGATGTTTACGTGTTGTCTAGGTTGCTGCGGAGATGGCGGATCGGGGCATATTCCCCTCAAAGAAATGCCCACAGTTCAGTTAGATACTCATCACATGGGTAAGTGAAGTTTGCGTGTAATTCTTGCTGCTCATGTACGAGCAGTTTATGTCTACACACGCCCAGCTGCCTCTCTCTCCGTGTATGTGTGTGTGGCAAGGTGGTTTGCTACTTCCGCTGCTACTTCTAGCTCGCTAACCGATAGCTGCTAGTAAATTTTCCTGCGCTGCTAGGCTAAGTGTTTCTGTTTGTTGCAGTGAGCTGCCCTAAAACGTTCATTTGGTAAACTTTCAACAGGGCTTTCAGTTGTTGCTAACCGCAGCTTGACATGACACAAGACAAAGACAGCAACAACTGACCGGACAGAAAATTGAACCTGAGCTCTTTTACAACTGTTCATGGATGGAAGCTGTCAGAATCCCCTCTTTGCGCCCCAAAGAGAATTTAAGACACACTAAATTACTGTGATTTTTAAGCAGAAAGCTGTATTTACTTTGTATCTTTGGACACAACGGATTAATCAGCTAGTTTCCGTGTTCACCGATAAATGGAGAAATATACACATTTGTCCATTTTTATCTTGGCCACAACATGTTTCCCACAACATTGTAAAGTATGACTTACTGCTTCCTGGAGATCTACTTAAGTAGACTTCACAACCGGTTGTGACAGTAGAAATCACGACACGTGTGCTTTTGTATTTGAGGGGAAAAAAACATGTTCACCTGTCTCAGCCTCTGCACATTAAGATGGAAGTGAACTAGTAATTTTTAGAAGATACAATCATAATTTAAAAGTTATGATATTTTTTAAATGGTAGTTGTTACCGTAAAATTATAGGCATGGCCTCGCCTGGATTCATCATAGGATTACAACTTAAAGGCTATTTTTTATTGAAGTGCTGATAGTCTGGATCAGAATTATTACAATATTAATAATATAAAAGTCTTTTCAGCTGTTTCACCGGTATCATGTGATCTAGAAAGTGCATATTATAAGTTGAAAGTAAAATCGAGCCTTGCTTTGTCTTGCAGGCACAGATGTTGTCATTGTAAAGAGCGGCCGAAGGATATGTGGAACCGGAGGCTGCCTGGCCAACGCTCCTTTGCACCAGAACAAAAGTTATTTTGAGTTTAAGATCCAGTCCACTGGTGAGCACTTGGCTTTTAAGCCTTTTAGTTATCGTCTTCTTTTCCTTCATGATTGCAATTTTCTGCGTTCCTGCTGGGAGTTATTGACACACTATTTTTAGATGCAGCACTGGTCTTGTGACTGCATGCTCACTGGTTCATGCTTACTTTTTTTTTTCTTCTTGCAATGACCATATTTGAAAGCACACATTATATTTTTGTACATGTAGTTTGTGGTAAAAGAGTGATTGAGATGACATTCTCAACAGTTTTAAAACAAACAATCAGATCTCAGTCCAGAAATCATTGTTGTAAAGTTTGTAAAATAGATTGGAAGTCATCAAATATCAGGATAGTTTGGAATGCACGTTTTAAAATGAACATGTTATTGGTGTGTGCCCTTCACATCTTCGTACTTGAGTGGTGTGCTTTGTGTGTAGGTGTGTGGGGGGTAGGTGTGGCAACCCAGAAAGTGAATCTCAACCAAGTGCCTATGGGCAGAGACACAAACAGCCTAGTCCTGAGGCACGATGGCTCCATTTACCACAATAATGAAGAGAAGAATCGTCTACCCGCTAACAGCATTCCTCAGGAGGGGGATATTGTGGTAAGTCACAAAAATAATTGGGCTTAATTACATGTTTAATTTTGATGCCCTGACCTTTGAAATGTTTAAGTGTTATTAGTTGGGCTGTGAAGCTAAAAATGGAGAACTGTTTTTTTTGGGGAGAGGGTTTTCTCGGAATCTCGTGGAATCAATTAGAACTGGGGTGGGAACTAAAAACATTAACTTTTATCCTCAAGGCTGTTCCAGAGATAAAAATATCTTCTGTTGTAAGTACCAAAACGATTTATTGCAGAGAATATGCTCTACACAGCTGCTGATCATCCCTTTTTTATTACATATTATTGGAATTGTTCACAAAACTGTCAGGACTCTGAAATAAGTTTTAAAAAGATACAAGTTTCATGAGTTCAGACTTTAGGTTGGAACAAATTGATTTTTTAAAAGCAGATTGATGGTGTAGAAATTCCAACCATGCTCTTTATAGGGCAATGTTTGGTTCTGCCACTACTATACAGTTTTACCATAATTTAAACTTCGGTCACCGAAACCCTTCAAGTCTGTTAGTAATTCAAGGTTC